CACGCACGCACGCACGCACGCACGCACATGCACGCGCGCGCACGCACGCACGCACGCACGCACGCACGCACGCACGCACATGCACGCGCGCGCACGCACGCACACACGCACACACCCACACACACACCCTCGCGGGCGTGTACGTAATAACAACTGTAATGGCACTAGTTATTTATTCGCTCGTACGTGTACACACCTGTGTTTACAGACGCAGCGAAACACGTAACCTCATTAACATTGTTCTAGGTGTGCTGGTTTTGCCGTGTAGGTAATGTTTCATCAGTGTGTTCAATAAACTGTTCATTATCTCCCCTCCTACGAAATACACCCACACCACGCGCTCGCCTGATAGAAAACAAGTGAAGACGTCGGTTTCAATTTATCCGTAATTATTGTGTTACATTCTATGTACGTACGTAGTAACGCTATAAATTTCTTTGCAAGATAATATTTTAATAAACAAATGTAAAATTCACAAATATAAAGTGTATCTATAATGTTTTGTGAATTTTACTCGCCTGCTTGGTTGCCAACATGAGTATTTTACACAGTGCAGTGAGACTGGCGTGCCATCATGCATCATGTTCTATTACAGACACGGCATTTTGAACACACGACGTTTAGATTCAAGGCGTTTGGGGAGAAGTTCCACCTGAAACTGGATCTAAATATGTGAGTATGACTCATTTTGTTTTGCAGGAAGTGGACACGGCCACCGTATCAATCGGAAATGTGACATGTTTTCTTTGCAAACAGAAAAATGCTAAACAGTCCTAGATTTTTTGTGAAAGTGCCTTATCTGTCCTTGGTCGCCTTTCCGCCTTTTAAACGTCGGTCTTAAACGTCGGTCGGTCTATTTTCCGACATCCTTATCCCATGTCCTTCTACCTGTCTCGCTCTCCCTCGCCTCTTAGCTCTTCGTATTGCTATTAGTGCACTCCCGCATTCTCCGCTCCACACCGTCCTCCCTACGACCTCCCCCTCCCCACTCCCCCCGCTTACAGCCGCTGCGCCCACAAGCGTGTCGGCAGAACCTGCTGTATTCACCAGTCACTAATCAAACATGCGGATTTATTTCAATTGATTTCATATTTCCACGTGGAGTTGTGGTAGTGGACAATCCATTAGCACTGTTTGATGTCCTAGTCACTATAGTAGCATAGGCGTTGTACGGTTGCGGAGACCGTATGTTCTCTCTCCCACACCGGCACGCGCAGAAACCTCTTAGAAATGTATACATGTTCTCAGAAATATCGATAGCACACCAATGTCTTTGTCCCTGTCATTCGGTATGTGACAATGAATATATATATATATATAAAGAGCTAATAATACGAAGTGCATAACGGGAAAATGTGGGAATAGTATTAGGATAATGTATTATTAGCTCTTGATATATATATATAATATAGGCGAGCAGACATTTTACATTACGTCCATATGCACATATGTCCAGCATTGATATTGATATATTGACACACAGTTATCGGCACGGATCTTTTAGCATTTAAAGCCACTTAATATTATTCTACTCTGGCGTTGACGTTTTTCCATTTGGTGTCATTTTCTATGGCGTGAGAAATATTTATGCTCTCTGTCAAATTTTCCAGTTTTCTGCTATCGGGAGGTGTCATCCAGAAGTACTTCACACCGAATGATACATCTACAACCATAGCGGTAAGTGTAATACATTTGTTATGACCTTCAAAATGGCGTTGTTATATTGTTTACCCGTTTTATCACCTAAAATCACAATATTATGGAAATCGCCTTGAGTATCGAACATACGTGTTACACTCGCCGAACAATAAATTCGGTTTAGTGGCAGTTTTGCCAACGTACGTCGCCGCGCCTGCGTGCGAACGGTGACTTCGTCGCTCTGTCCACGACACACTGCCGATGGGAAGCACCAAAATACCGTATTTATGTACAAATAATGGGGTCAAATGTAAGGAACTGAAATGAGAACAAAAATCCACAAAAGAGTGGGTGCATTTCTCTCTCTCTCTCTCTCTCTCTCTCTCTCTCTCTCTCTCTCTCTCGCGC